TCTTTATCTGTTTTTTTTTTTATAGAGGCAAAAGGAGACAACTAGTAAACTCTAAGGCCCTAGATACTCACGCACCATCTGCTGCTGCTGCTGCTGCTGCTGCATCGCAAGCTGCTGCTGCTGCTGCTGCTGCTGCAGTGCCAAATGCTGCTGCTGCTGCTGCTGCTGCTGCTGCTTGTCTTAGCTTGTTCATTTCTGTACCTTTGTCTTGAGACAGAGAGGAGAGACAGCAGGCAGATAAGAGATAAATAATATAAAGGAGAAAAGAAAAGAGACAAATAATATAAAGGAGACAGAGAAGAGACAAACAATGTAAAGGAGACAGAGAAGAGACAAACAATATAAAGGAGACGGAGAAGAGAGACAGGAGACACGCAATCGAGACAAAGGAGACACACAAGGAGACAGAGAAAGGAGACAGAAAAAGGAGACAGATGTGTGCAAGGAGGAGACAGAAAAAGAAACAAACCGCGGACGCAACGGTGGTCTATAATAAAGGCAAAGGAGACAAGGAAGGAGACAGAAGAAGGAGACAAAGAAGGAGAGAGAGGAGGGAGACAAAGGAGACAAGAGAAGGGGAGAAGGGAGACAAGAGAAGGAGACAAAGGAGACAAAGGAGACAGAAGCAAGACGAGAGGAGACAAGGGAAGGAGACAGAGGAGACAAAGGAGTCAAGAGAAGGAGACAAAGGAGACAAAGGAGACGAGAGGAGACAAAGGGGACAAAAGAAGGAGACAAAGGAGACAAAAGAAGGAGACAAAAGGAGGAGACAAAGGAGACAGAAGCAAGACGAGAGGAGACAAGGAAAGGAGACAGAGGAGACAAGGGAAGGAGACAGAGGAGACAAAGGAGACAAGAGAGGGAAATAAAGGAAACAAAGGAGACAAGAGAAGGAGACAAAGGAGACAAAAGAAGGAGACAAAGGAGACAGAAGCAGGACAAGAGGAGACAAGGGAAGGAGACAAAGGAGACAAGAGAAGGAGACAAAGGAGACAAAAGAAGGAGACAAAAGAAGGAGACAAAGGAGACAAATGAGACAAGAGGAGACAGAGGAGACAGAAGAAGGAGACAAAGAAGACAAAGGAGACAAAAGAAGGAGACAAAAGAAGGAGACAAAAGAAGGAGACAAAGGAGACAGAAGCAATACAAGAGAAGGAGACAAAGGAGACAAAAGAAGGAGACAAAAGAAGGAGACAAAGGAGACAAAAGAAGGAGACAGAAGAAGGAGACAAAGGAGACAGAAGCAATCGAAGCAGAAATGCTAAGCGTCAGTAGTCCAGGGGTAGGATGCAACCCTCCCAAGGTTGCGACCCGGGTTCGAGTCCCGGCTGACGCACTTTTTATATTTTTATAAAAAATTAATTTTTATTTAATTATTTATTATTTTATTTATTTATTTATTATTATTTATTTAATTTATTTGTTTTTATTTATTTTCCTTCGTATATAGAACCAAATCTATGGAGGCTGACTGTGGGGCCAATGGGCTGCAGCAGGAGCCCCGCGGACCTGCCTATACACCCCAACACAGCAAACAAAAAAAAAGTAAAATGCAATAAAAATAGTTATTTAATTATTATTTAATTAAATTATTTTTATTACAAACACAAATTGGTGCTAACCAGGCGAGCTTAGGCCAGAGTCCCTATAACAAAGCCCCTTCATTAGTTGCTGCTGGGGCTGCTGCTGCTGCTGCTGCTGCTGCTGCTGCTGCTGCTGCTGGTGTTGTATTAGAGGTGTGCAGCAGCAATGCAATGTATAGTTTATTTAGATGAGTGTGCGTATTTATGAATAATTAATTTATTAGTTTAATTATAATTAAACAGAAACATAAGAAAACAACTGTCTCCCCCCATGCCGCTAGACAAGGAGACAGTTGCACACTGTCTCCGCGCCTTAGCCGAGCTGAAGGCCTCAAGAGACAGCGGCCTCAGCAAAGAAGAGCTCAAAGAACTACTCCATGGTCAGGCAACACTAGCAGCAGCAGCAGCAGCAGCTGCTGCAGCAGCAGCTGCAGCAGCAGCAGCAGCAGCAGCAGCAGGAGTATTTGTAGCAGCAGCAGCAGAAAAAGCACCAGGTGTAATCCCAGTATAGCAGCAGCAGCAGCAGCAGCAGCAGCAATTGTAGAAACAGCAGCACGAGCAGCAACAGGAATACTTGTAGCATTAGCAGCAGCGGCAGCACGTGTAGTTGTAGCAGCAGCAGCAGCAATAGCAGTACCAGCAGCAGCTGCTGCAGCAGAAGCAGCTGCAGCAGCAGCAGCTGCTGCTACTGCAACAGCAGCAGGGGCCAATCAGTGCAGCAAGCGCCTCAGGGGGATCGTAAGAAACCCCACAGCTGAGGAGACAGACAGAAGGAGACAGAGAGAAAGAGACAGAGCAGAGAGAAACAGAACGAAAAAGACAGAGACAAAGAGACAGACAAGGAGACAAACAAGAAGAAATAGAGACACAGAAAGAGAGAAAGGCAAAGAGACAAAGTGAAACAGAACAACAGAAATAGAGAGAAAAACAAAACGAAAGAGAGAAGAAAAAAAGAAAAAAAATAAATAAATTTGTTATCTTTGTTGCTACCTGCACATACACCTGAAGCTGCGTATACACCCCAATCGAATTCTCTGTCTCCGTTTTTTTCTGTCTCCTTTTTTTTATAAGCTCGCACAGACACTGTCTCCTGCCACGCTAAACCCTAAACCCTCAACTGCGCCTAGGGTTTAGAGGTGGGGGATTAGGGTTTAGGGTTTAGGGTTTAGGCGGTAGAGGGGGCCACTAGGGCCGCAGCAAGCCACGCAAACCCT